CCCTCCTCCTCAGGGATTAGATACCCTGCCGACCCAAAGGGTCCCCCTTTGATACTTTTTAAGAAATCCACTTTTGGCCGACCGACCCTAAAATTTTTCTAAAGACGCCTTTGGCGCCAATATTTACTAATTTTGAGGGGGGGGGGGGGGCTCCTGGAATTTAGGCATACTTAAGAGTCATAGTAAAATAGGTCATTTGGAAAACATTTTTGACAAAAAATGACAAGTAAAAGGTTTTTTTTACAAATTTTTTGTTTGATTTTTCATGTTTTTGATTCCCAAAATTGCGCTAAAGAGCTCCATAAACTACTTTTACGGCTTAAATTAAACTTAAATAAACTACTAAAAGCATATACGGTCAGGTCACCTTATTAGCTCAAAATTAGACCAATAATCAAAAATTTCAAACCAGTTTTTCTCGACACTGTAAAAGTTTCAACATTTTTTTAAAAGTCGTTCGAACCACGATTGAAAGGGCTTTAATATGATATATCACTCAACCCAGTCCGATCATTATTTCTGGCACCTGATTTTTGTAGCATCTGAAAAAAACTAAAACACACCCTAATACAAAGTTCCTCCCCTTTTTCAATGGTCGGAACAAAAAAACTAAAACACACCCGAATAAAAAATTTTCAATGGTCGGAACAAAAACTATTTTTCATACTAAGCTTCAATAATTCAGTTATTATACCTTAGACCACAGAGTTGTCTGAAGATCCGATTTTGATAGGTTCGTGTAAAAATATCCTGGTATTGAGAATAAAACGAATAAGTTGTTTCAAACTGGCGCATTAGATTTTGCCTTTCACCTTCGAGCGAAAATCAAATGAAAGTTCAGATGCTTACAAAAGTCTCAAAGGGAAAAGTTTACTTTCCTTGTTCAAAAGGTAGCAAACAATCGAACCCCCTCCCTCTTAACCAAACTGTTCCACTCGTCAACCTTTTTTTCTTATCCTCTTTGCTCCTTTATCTAGTTTCTTTCATAAAAAGGGTTATTTTTTGCACCCCTTTCACTGCCACTTACCCACGCCTTTCGTGAAAACGCACTGTGTTAGATCAACATTGATGCAATGTGAGAAAATAAGGGGTTTGCTTTAAGCACTAATTTTACCATTGTTGTTTAAGAAAAATGGCAGGCAGCAAGAATCCAGATATGCGAAACATTTGAATCCAGATACGTACCCTGAAGAAGCTGAAAACTCAAAGAATTTTTCCGAACCTTAGACATTATTTTGTGTCATCAGAACAATGCTGTTGTATATATATTTTTATATATATTTTCATTTGAATACTTGAATACAGAAAAACTCACATGTTTTTCTCGAAGCGTTTTGTCTAAGCTCTAAAGCGACATTTTTTGAGAGTTTAAATTCAAATATAACTCTGCCTGGTTTTTTGTGATGCCTGGCTTTTATGTCTGACCGGGTCAAGGTACGTGGGTGCCGCCTGTATGGTATGGCATGTCTAACTAGCTCTGTTTGAAATCAGTTAGAACACATGCCGCGTATCTGAATTTTGAATGTGCACCGGAAAAACAGACATACATCTGATCTGTGACATATCTGTGAAAAAACTGGAGTTTGAATGCCCACTCCTGCCTTCAAAATAAAGTTCAATACGGGCCACTTCCCGTGTCTGTTTTTTGTTTTAATTAATGTTTCCTGTTCTACAAAATTTTTGGGCATGCTTGTGTTCGACTATTGTTAAAAATTTCGAGAGTTTTTTTTCGCTTTTTTTCATATAGAAATAAGAACAGAAAAAACATCATGAAGTGATTCCCCCTTCACTGTAAGTAATGCGACTAAAAAATATGGAGTGTCAACATTTAAGCCTTCATTAGTCATTCGTGGAGTTTGTATGCTACCATGGGTTCTCAAAAAACAGTAATCATGGGTTTGTAGGTTTGTGAGTTTATTTTAAATCCTTATAAGTCCATATTATATCGAATTTCGATCCATTCAAACCGATTCAGCAAAAATGATTTGCTTTTCGAAATTGTTATAAATCAGTTTGAATAGATCTATTTTGAAAATTTGGGAACCAATTTAGGGCCTAAAAGTGAATGTAACCCGACTTTGATGCTCATTAAAATTGATCTGAATATCCACGAAATCAGTTTGAATTGATTTTTTTTGCGCTGTAAAATTTTCCGCTTTGTAGCTTTAAATACTTTTTGAGCCTAATTGTTCCGGCTATTTGAAAAATGAGGAGGAATTTTGTGTTCGTGTAAATTTTAGTTTTTTTTGTTTTTTTTTCTTCATGCAAATTCAGCTACCATAAAAAATTATCGGGGAGTGCTGCGTGTTATTTCAAATTCAAGCCTTTTTAGTCGTGATTCAATTGACATTGAGAAATTTCCAATAAAGTTTCCCAGTGTCAAGAATGACTGGTTTGAACTTTGATGTTTCGTCTTAATTCGAGCAAATAAAGCACGTGTGCGGGCCTACAACAGCTCAGTTATGCCTAGTTTAAGCCATAAAACTTAGTTTTAATCAAGTGAAACTAGTTTTTCTTGAAGTTTTGGAGTGTTTTAGCTCCATTTTATGAATCAAAAACTTCAAAAGTTTTTTTTTAAAAAAGGTTTTAAATTTTTTTTTTGATTTTATATTTCCTTAAACATTTTTCAACAAATTTTTTGTCTACATTGCCTATATGACTACGGCTGTCAAATATGGCTAAATTATAGTGTTACGTCAGGTCTTTCTACCACACGACGCAGAAAAAACTGCAATAATTTGAAAAAAAAAACATTTTTCTGTAGTTTTTTTAACAGACTGGTCAGAACATTTTGTGCTACTTGCTTAGCAACCAGCTATCCTCGATAACTATTACTTGTGATCATAAATTTGAGCATCATTTTTGTTCCTGAATAATTTCATCAAATGCTAAAATAGTAGTTTCTGGGGGATCTTTTTTGTTCCGACCATTGAAAATGAGGAGGAACTTTGTATTCGGGTGTTTATTCTTTTTTCTTCTTTATTTTTTTTCCACCCAAAATCAGGTACCACAAATAATCATCGGACCGGGTTGAGTGAGATATCTTAATCAAGCCGTTTCATTTGTAAGTCGAACAATCTTAATTTTCCAAAATTTTCCGAGTGTCGATAAAAACCGGTTTAAAAAGTTTGATTTTTTGTCTGTTTTCGAGCGAGTAAAACGAGCAAGCCGCCTCATCTAGATTTTCAACCAAAAGCATTTGCCAGAAGAAATCATGGTAATTGGCAGAGTAATAAACCATAAAAAAGCCTTTTCAGCACTGATTCAAGCGACAATATAAAAATCAAAAGTTGTCCCAAGTTGAGAAAAACCGGTTTGAAATTTTTGAAATTCGATCTGTTTTTGAGCGAAAAAAACCAAGCGAGCAGGCGTATTTTTTTAAAGAAAAGTGAACGATGAATTTTCGGTTTAACTCAAGTAAAATAAATTTTGGAAGTTTTTTCACCATGTATTTGCAAAAAATTCTGAAAACAAAAATTAAGAATTTTTTTTGAATTTTTTTTCTTGCTTTTTCAACTAAAATCGTTCCCGATCTGCCTATTTTACTGTGGCTGTCGATTATGACTGTTTTTTAGATTTTCATTTCATCTTTTTATCACGCAACGCACAAGAAAAGCAACGATTTATTTTAAAGAGTATGTTCGGAACACTCTGTGCTACTTGCAATGCAACCGGCTATCCTTGTTAGCATTTTGCGAACTTACGGTTTCCGCAATAATAAAAGTAAAAAAAGCACATTTTCTCCATATGTAATTTTTAAGGTCTACATTTGTAGTGTAATTTGTTGATGCGATTTAAAAATCTCAATTAGGAGAAAATAATTTCAGTACAAAAAAATCGCACAAAAATAATTTTCTCACTTTTTTCAGATTAAACATCGGCATGAAAAGTCAACTGAACAGCCCTGTTTATAAATTCACTTTCTGTAAACTCATATCAATTATAAGTCGAACAAATAAAAAAAGCTTGTATATAATCAAAAAAATGATTAATACAAAATTGATGATTGAAAATCAATTTAATTGTGTTCAAATGGGATTAAGGATTATATCATTGAATTCAAAAACCAAAAGATTTTAAATAGCGTTAGATTGATGTTTAAATTTCGAATTAAGATTAATTTAATTCTTTTTAAAGGTACTCCAAATCCATCTTAATTTGCCGAAATAGGTTTTGACACCACAACAAATCTGCATCGAGACTTGTCAGAGCAGGTAGTTTCGTAGTTTTTGCCAATAGGACTGTGGTAAAAAATTCTGAGCTTTTTTGCACAGCAATTGGTTCTTTTTTTCATTAAAATTTTGTTTTTGCAAAAGTACCACCAAGTTTTTTAAATATACTAAACTTTATTCCTTTTCAATTTTTTTGTTTTGATGACTGATAGTTGGGAAGAACTTTGTATTTAGGCGTTTTAATTTTTTTTCACGCACAATGGGTTGAGTGTTGTATCACATTAAAACCCTTTCAGTCTTAAGTGGATCGAAGTTTGAAAATGTTCAAAATTTTTTCAGTGTCGAGAACAACTGGTTTTAAAATTTGGAGTTATTATTGAAGCTATGAAGCTATTATTGAAGTTTTAATTAAAAGAAGAGAACTTAACTGAAGCAGAACGAAAAAAAAAATCGAATTTTTATCATGAATATTGAAGCACTGTAGTCACATGTAGTTAACTCAATTTTGTGGAAAAAATTCAGTTTTTTTCTTTTTTCTTGAGTTTTTGTGTGTAGGCAGAAAAAAATTAAGTCTCAAAAAAATAATAATGACATATAAAAGTTTTCAGGTTTAATTTCGCTTATCTCTTACATAAAAAATTAAACAAAAAAGAAAAAATGAATTCTTTTCCCAAAATTGAGCTCAATAGAAAAATTGAACAGAAGCCGGCAGAATATTTTTCGTTTTTTAAAATGGCACCATTTTAGTGCGATGCAGAAAAATTTAGATTTTGACTGTTCACCATGGTCATACTTGGTGAAAATTAGCACTAATAAGTCACAAAAATATATTTGATTGGAAAGTGAGTAAACATTAAAATCACAAAGTGACAATTACAATAGCTTCACTAATACTAAAGTGTTGAGTTAACTTGTCTTCAAGAATATGTTTCTAAATTTTGGCTGCCATATAGTTCCATTTGAGCACCATATGTATCGGACGGAGACCTGTAGTGCTCCGAATGACTACTCTCACTCCTCAGCATAAACGACGACATCCTGCTTGCATTCGTATTATTACTGTTCCCGTATGTATCTCGCGACAGCGTGGCCACGCTAGGCTCTGTTGGTCTATGCAGTAAAGTTGAAAACTTGACCGAGCCTGGTTTAGGTTCCGCGGTTTCGTATAGCGAGGCGTAGTTCATTTCTTCGTATAGGTTCTCGTCTCTTATGGTCTCGTATGTTCCGCTATCGTAACTTGCTCGAGCATCGTTTATGGGTTCGTTGGTAAATGGGTTGTAGTGACTGCTCGACGGAAGGTTCGCCGACGGCGGAGGATTGTCGAGTGAGTAATCGTTTGGAACTGTATGCTGGAATGGGTTTCGAGAGACGACAGGTACCATATATGGCAACTCGACTCGTTGGCCAGGACCCTAGAATATAATATTATTGGTAAAAAAATCAAGTTTTAATGTTTTTGTATCAGTTGAACATTGTTTAACAGCATTATAAATTTTGCAATTCTCCACCCTTTTGTAAGGAAACCGTTGACTTTTATGTGTCCTGCTCAATTTTTACACTTACGAGAGCAAGTGTCTTGTTATCGGGGACATGAGAGCAAAATTCATGTTATCAAGTGCTAGAACTTTTTCCTGGTAGCAACTTTTCTTACAAGAAATTGCACTTGCTTCAACATTAACTTTTAACCCTTGCGATAGCAAGGCTATTGCAATCGGGTACTGGACTTTTTTCCGTAAAAAACTTAACGTACAGGATTCATCTCCTGGACTCTGGACTCATTCATCCACTGGGCCTTTCTGTTGCAACAAAGACATTTTGGGCATGTTAGCATTTCAAATATATGGCCTATTCGAAACGTGTTTTTTATGTTGGTTGTAATTTTATCAACTCGCTTTGTTAACATTTCATTTTTGTTTGTTTTTCTTGTTCTTTTTTCTCGGTTAAATAGGTATTGCCTTCTTTCACATCGCCTAGTGGTCCCATATTGTATCGTTTGATGAGCGAAAATTTTATTTGTGTGCATGTGTATGCGTTTTGAGGGGCCTGAGTTTAACAATTTTTTTCTAAAAAATTTTGACCTTTTTTACCGAATTGTTTTCAGTTTTTTTCGGCTTTAAGGGTTTCTGCTCAGTTATTTTTTTTACCGCTTGTCAAGCTCTGCGATGGTAATTTTTACATTCTATTGTTTAAAATTGTTTTTGACTTCTAGAGTAGATCTGTGTTTTTACTTTTCTGAGTTTTTTCGATTATTCTACCAATCTTGGGTTTTGGGTTCAATCAAAATTTCAGGTTAAGTGAATTTCCTCTGCATCAGCGGCATATGCCTAGTTTTTTTCTAAGCAAAAAAAACTAATACTCTAATACAAGTGAAAGTTATGAACTTTGACCGTTTTTTGAAGATTTTAACTTCACTCGAAAATTATCGTGACAATTCCCGAGTTAAGCGTGCAATTGAGAAGCCCAATTTTCATAATTTTTCTGTCAATGGCCACTATCTGCTTTAAGCAGAAAAAAAAATTAACTTTCGATTTTTTTTCTGCTTAAATGGCCAAAAAGTTATCGTGGTGGTTGCATGTTTTGTGCGTTTTGATTTTAGGTTGGACTTAAAGCTTTTTAAGATTCAATTTTATTTTTTTTGGCTCAACTGATTTCTGCGCAACGACCGACGGTTTTGTTTTCTTTTCGTAGCTTTGCTCCTAACTTAAAATTTAAAAGTCGTTCTTGGCATTTTAATCTGAAACTTTTCTTTAATAGAAACAGCTATTATGAAAAAATATGGGATTTGGGCTTGTACTTAATTTTATCTTCAATCAAAATAACTGATTGTGGGAACTTTGCCTGCATAACCGAATGCACCCATGTTTTTACACAAAAAATTATGGCCTCGAGAAAGTCGTTAATTGGAAATTACTTGAACTTCCTCAAAAACTACCCTCTCAAATCTCGGTAATTTTTTGTATGTCCTTGGGAAAACTACAAAATTATTTAAGTAGAGAAACAACTAAGGTTTGGGCAAAGTCCAGTTTTTAAAACTTGGAAACTACCCATTTCATTCCGCATCAGTAAATGATTTAAAAAAAAACTTTTCTTCTAGGTATTTCCAGCTTTAGCTACGCCCCTAGTCTTTTATCTGGTCATAAGAAAATTTTGGTTTACCTTGTTTTTTTTTTCTTTTTTTTTTCGACTTCCTTTGATTTTTTTGTTTGTGTTGTGTAGCAAGTGGTGCGATGCTTTGCTTCAACTTTCTGTATAATATTCTGATTTCATGTCAGTACTTTTAGTTTTTCACTATTTCTGTATGCGCGAAAATTATAAACTATTCTGATCGAAGAAATTTCTGTTTTTTTTTTGTAAAAACCTACCTTAAGGTTATCCCCATATGAATGTTTGTGAGGCACTGTGGAGTATCCCCGGAAGTTCATCTCGGGTGGCAGTGCAACCAGCATCGGCTGCTGGTCTTTTTCACTGCAACTGGAAGGCGAGCCCAAGTTGACCCCCATACTAGTGCTTCCCTCTAGGTTCCGCCTTGGACCAATAGTGCAATAAGCTTGTGGAACACCTGTGACTGGATCACGGTGGAAAATGACCTAGAACAGTTTCATGGATGTCATTTAAGCTAAAGTTTATTTTAAAAAAACTGTTGAAAATAAAAAAACTGCCTGTAATTCACAGCATGCTCCATTTTTTATTTGCTCCACTTTAAAAAGCAATCTTTTTGTGTCTGCCAAAAATATTCCTTCGCTCGCTTTTCGAGTCGAATGAAACCCTTTGGCAAACAGTTTAAGGGCTCTTTTCTCTCTGACCTCTTCTGGGTTGAGCATGAGTCTGGCGGCGCCCTTTGATCTCTGGTGCTTAGTGTCCTGTCTATGGACGATGACCCTCCTCATGATGAAGAGCAAGATGAGGGCGACCATGACTGCACAGATGACTGCGATGGCTACTATGATTATATTCATGTGGCTGTGCTCATCCGAAGCAGCAGCACCTGCACAAAAAAACACGATGAAATCAAACATTGCATCGTTTTATAATAAAACTACCGTCGCAAATTATTTATAATTTGAAAAATAAGTACAGGAACCAGGGGCGGATTTAGAGGGGTTTTGCAAACGCCCCCTTCAGGGATTCGACCCCCTGACGTCCCAAAGAGTCCCCTTTTGTACTATTTTGAGATATCCCCTTTGTACTATTTTTGGTAACAGCCCGAAAATTTTTCTAAGGGCGTCTTAGGCGCCAATTTATATTACTTTTGAGGGGGGAGCGCGGTCAAAATTTTCCATAAAGTGCCGAAAAATGCCTTTGTTGGTCAAAATTTTCCATAAAGTGCCGAAAAACGCCTTTTTCGGTCTGTTTTTTTTTAAGTTTGAAACCCCCCGCCCCCCTCGAGAAAATCCTAAATCCGCAGCTGAACGAATCTAAGGTAAGGGGAATTTTCAAACGTTTCATCGGCTTTTGTCTCAAGTCGACCAAATCGATTTTTTGGAGACTGATTTTGAGCAATTTCGGGAAGAAATGTTTGAAGTTTGTATAAATTGGCGCCCGTAGAAAATTTATTGGTCTGGTTGATTGAAGAAAGAAGTGAATAGTAGTATCCAGTAGCGGATTTAGGGGGGTGGGCGGACGCCTTTCCCCTCTTAGGGGTTCGACCCCCTGCCGACCCAAAGGGTCGCCCCATTGTACTATTCTGTGATATCCATATTCGCTGACGGTGTTAAAATATTGGATTAAACTAGATAACTAGGTTAGACTTGGTTAACTTAAACTAAGACTAGTTGAAGACTTGATATGTTGATGGTCTCTACTACCGAATAGTTGACTTTTATCTAAGACTAGAATAAAAGACGTGGGGTTAATAAGACTACGCTAAGTAAATACGAAGGATTAAGAAGGATAAAATAAGATTAGTTTTAATAACAAGATTGGTTGCAGTTAGAACGTTTAGTGACTCCATCTTCAGATATGCAAAAAGTCGTTGCGCTTTTGGCAGTTGCTTGGCTAATTAACAATAAGTAAATGAGCAACATAAAGGTTAAAAGGTCGCTAACAAATGATATCCCTTTTGACATTCCCCGCGAAAATTAAATTGAAGTTTGCATATACTTTTCACCCACAAATATTGTGTTAAGGCAAGGAGGTGAAATAACGGAACAAACCCACCAAGGATTTCGCCCGATGAAAGTGGTAACTAGCACACAAGTGGTTCAGGATATTATCAATCGACTAACCGAACCCAAAATAAATTTAACAGTTACAAGAGTTGTACTAATGTTGAACTAAGGGTTAATCCAGGTAAAGCACCAATTTTCAATTGAGCTAGTTTTAGGATTGTACTTTTAGGTAATGATCTAAAAATAGCGCCGTAATAGAGGAAAGACAAAGGAAATGACTTAAGAAAAAAAATTGAGATTATGACCAGAAAGAGAGTTCATGGTTAAGCAAAATTGCGGCGTCACGACTTTAGGCTCTGATTTCTGTCCATTTCCTGAGTTCATCAAGAGTCATAGGGCGACCCAGTAGCTCCATTGCTGCAATCATGGAAGTTTTATTCAGCCAGTCAGGGTTAATCACAATAGGCGTCTCAATAACATCAGCAGGCTCGGAGGGTAGGCCCGATGGATTAAATTCGATCTTCCGCACTTCCGATTTAAATTGCATTTTGTTAGGAGAACGGATTGGTGAGAGCAATAGAAATAGCTGTATTTTGTCTTTTGGTTCAGATCCAGCTTCCGTAAGGTTAACTACGGTCGGTTGTGGTGTAGAAGAAGTTGAAGAAGAAGTTAGGTCAACGACATCTATCTGGTGGCTTTCCGATTCTATTGTCATAGTTTCTAAAGATAGAGTGGATGGTGGGGTTGTTTTATAGGTTGTCGTGTGTTCTCCTGGTCTATCGTCCGAAGTTTGGACAAGGCTAGTGAATACTTTCTCGCCGAGTAATAATGGCGGTTGTCTGGTCAGAATCAGTCTGGTGTTCTGACGATTTTCTTGGAGGCGGCGATTTCTTAGGGGAAAAAGCTTTCCGTTTAGGCATACCCGTTAATTTAGGTTTGGATGAGCTCTGGGTGGGAGTAAGGTTCTTAGTCTGGTTCTCGGTGTTCGTCTTCGTTATACTCGTATGCCGCTCTGTGGACTGAGAAGTTTTTGGGTTGGTTGACTCCGGTTTTTTGCTTTCAGTAGTTAGTTCTGATCAGTTTTTATCAGATTCAACGTGGCTGTCCAACTGGATGAGTGGTGGGGTCGCACGCTGGTCTGAGTTATTATCCCCTGAATCTAGATCAATCGGCGTATGACAAGCATTTTGCTCCTTCTCTGTGTTTGATTCTTCTTTTCGGGAGAATTTCCTGTTTGATGTTGGTTGGTTCTTGCGCTGTTTGGTCTTGTCGATTTTCTAAATTACTCCTAACAAGTGGTTTCAGATCTTGAAGTAAAAAAAAATCGCTGGCATTGTCATCAGATATCGTATCATTTGGTGGGTTCGTCAAAAATATGTCGGGTGTATGTTTTCTTTGTGGACGGATGGGTTGACCCGGCGGGCTTACTTCTTGATTGCTTTCTCTGTCAAAAGGGTACCTTAAATATTTTCTTTCCTCCTCTTCCTCTCGTAGCAGAGTTTCTCTCGAGCTGTTCATTGTCGCATTTCGCCTAGCGATATCCAGTTTTTCAAATTTTGCCAATAATTTTTTCTTCTTTTGTGTTGACTTAGAGCTCTTGAATCCAATTTTGTTGACGATTTCATAACTTTCCTAGGTCTTTTTTTGGCATGAAACCGGATGAGTTGATTCTTCTCTTGAGGTTGAGGGCTATTTTTTTTCGGTGCAGAGGGCTTTTTCACGGCTAAATCAATTTTACGAATTACTTTCCCGTTTTTAAGGGTAATTTTATGATCCGATTCTCTTATGATTTCTTCCTTAAGTTCTTTACAGTATGGTTTGTCCTTCTTTCTATCTTGTACTTTTCTGTAGATAAGTTTCTTACCCGATGAATTACTCAAGTAGGGATTTTTCACGCCTAGGGTTTTTCTTTTCTCTGCGCGAGAGAGGACTTTGACAGGGGAACCGGAGCTTGTAGGTACATATCTAGTTGCATCAGATGTGTCGTCTGATGAGGATGATTCTTTGTCTAGGTGTCGGTCTTCAATTTCATCAGGGGCATCACAATCATGTCGTATGTCCTGGCACATTATTTTTTGTCCTTTATCTATACATAACAATGTTTTGTTCCAATCCAGGTTTCTTGACGATGGAAGTTTTACTAAATTATGCCAAATCGTGTTTGGGGATCTACCGAAGAGTGCTTCGAAAAGGGAGTAATTTAGTGATTGTTGTGTTACAGTTCTTAGGCACTTTATGATCTTTCGTAATGCAATTACTAAGGAAGGTTTTAAATTTTCTTGCGCCATAACCATAAGTCGTTCTGAATTATTCTAATTAGACGCTCGACCTGGCCCCTAGCTCTATGGTCACCCATTGGATTGAATATGACGTTGATTTTGTGTTCTTGACAAAATTCTCGAGCTTCCTTAGAGATAAACCCCGGCCATTGGTCCTTTTTAATAGTTCTGGGTGTTCCGTGGAAAGTCATATTTTTTCTAAGAAAGTTTATTACCGATTTAGCGTATGTGCTTGATGTTATTTGTACCGATGGCAGATTTGAAAATCAATCAACTTTTAGGAGTATATGTTTTTTTGTTCCCGAAGTTAATGGTACCGAGCCGGCAAAGTCTATTTCCATTTCTTGATTTGTTTCAACGACCGATGGGAGTTTTCCAAGGTTATCATGTTTTGTCAGTGGCTTCAAACTTTTACCTGCTTGTACACACTCGATACAATTTTCTCCATGTACTTGAATTTCTCTGTAGTTTTTTGGCCACCAGATGAAGAGGGTTGCCAGTCTTTCAATTGCAAACTTGACTGGGGGAGCTTCATGTAATCTGTGTAGCATCGTCGTCTTCAAGCATGCTGGTATAACCAGTCTATCGTCAAAGTAAAGGCATCCTCCGTTAACGTGCGAGTTGTTGATGTAAGGTTTGTAATAGTTTCCCAGCTGTAATAAGTAATGTTTTCTGTCTTCTTCGATTGCTTCTATAATTTTCTTTAATACCAGCTGTTGCTTCGATAAATTTAGAATCAAAGATTTCAGGCCATGAGAACGGGAATAATTTGTGTTTAACCGGCTTAGAACTTTTTTCTTTCGTGGGGTTTTACTCAGAAGATGTACCCGACTAGTACTGGGTTTTTAGGCTTGGGCAATGTTTACAGTTGAGTTTTCAGGTTGTTCAGTTACTTCTAGTTGATCAGAGATATCTTTTAAAAACTTTTAGTTTGTAGAAAAATCGATAGTTTTATAAGATGGAAAGCAGTCTTCTGTTCGCGAATGTAAATTTTGAGGTAGATTGCAAAGTTTCTGCAGCATTCGCAATTCGTTTTTCACGTTCTACTTCTTGACTTGTCATATAATTAGCCAATTGGCCGATGACGTTGCAGTGTATGACGTCATGAGAGAATTTATGTTGCAAAAATTTGTTTCTTAATTGCGGACGAGAATATCTAGGCATCAAATGTTCGAAGCCTAAGATATTGCTTATTGTGATGATCGAAGCCTAAGATACGTCAAAGTGATTATTTATCACTGTATTGTAGATTTCCTTCTTGATTTTTTTGAACGCCTACAGGTGTACCTTGGACCAATTAAACTGTTTGTTCTTTTGCATTAGTTCTCTAAATGGTGCTGGTAGTAATGCTAAAATCGGTATGAATTTTTCGAATTGGTTAATAGATCCCATTAACGATCTTATGTCTTTAATAGAACGTGGTTCTTTTAGATTTCTGATTGCGTCTGATTTGTGTACTAATGTAGTTGTCCCCTTCGCGTCGATTTTGAATCCTAGCCATTCTATGTTATGCGTCAAAAATTTACATTTCTCCCATTTTATGGCTAAACCTTCGTCCTCCAACGTTTTTCAAACGTTAATAACTAATTTGCGATGCTCTTCAGCGCTGCCTACGGTAGCAACTAAAACGTAACCTAAATAACAGTGTGTATTAGGTAACTTTTCCGTCAAACGGTCCATGATCCGTTGAAATTCATTAGGCATATCACCTAGTCCGTACAATCCAGTTTTGAAGCAATATGATCCTGTAACGTGTCCTCCCACAATATTAAAATTGCAATGGGAACTTGCTTTTTCAGATAATGGTATCTGGCTTTATGCATATTTTAGGTTAACAGATGAGAACCAAATTTTGTTTTCGTCATATCTACTAGTTGTTACCGCGACATTATCGATTATTTAAAACAGATTAGGCAGTCGGTTTCTGTTACAAAATATCTGTTTTTCAAGCAGTTTTGAGTTTAAGGCCAGTTTGATTGACCCGCCTCTTTTTGCTGTAATGACGATAGGGGAGATAAAGCAATCTTCCAATTATCTGGACAGTTTTTCGATATGCCCGTCTCTATGTAACTGATCGATGCATAATTTCAATTTGAGGAGTATGTGGATCGCTATGCTTTTCTCTTTTACCTGTATCGGTTTGATAGGTTCATTAAAAAAGGTGTTCATGATAAAAAAATTTCTTCTACCGGTTATTTTTGGGAATCGTCAGGGAGTCGGCGTGATATAAAAAATTTGAACTCACGTTGAATTGGTGTGTCGACATGTTGACATGGTTTTCTATCCGTTTCAAAATTTATCTGATTTACATCTATCCCGACGGGTGGTTTGCTCGGGGTCTTCCGTACTTCTAACACTGTGGATGGTGCCTGCTTCTATAGAACCTCAATTCCTAAGTTCGGTCGTATATTCTTTCCCAGAACATTTCTTTCTGCCCCTTCAGTGATAATCAATTATTGATCCTTGGCGTCCCATCTTTTTGACTGAATCCTCACTATAACTTTTCCAACGAGATTTATCGTACTCCCAAAGCCCTGATATGCTTTTGCTTTTTTCGTGAACTCGTCGACTGCTTCTATCTTTAAAAATCTGTCTCTTATTTTCAATTCAGGAAGTAAGTCTCTCTCAATAAACAAAACTGGGCTTGCTGAATCGATTTGAATATCGGCAAAGTAAGGGTTAAAATTTCCCATTGATACCATAAGTGTCTTTTTCAGTTCCAGACCTTCATAATTGAATACAGTTCGTCTCACGCCCCCTTCGATTTTATCTTTCACCGCGTTTACTTGATTGTCACTGTCTACCGCTAAGACCAAGAAGTATTCCAGATCAACTTCAAACTCGGGATTATCCTGCAGGTTGGCCCTATACGTTTCTTGCTCGGCTAGTTTTGCATTTTGATCGACTATGTTATTTTGTGTTCTGGCTGCACTTCTACAATGTTTGGCGAAATGGCCTTTGCGACCACACGTGTTGCAATTCCTATCTCTAGCAGGGCATGAAGTAAGGTGGCCCTTCTTGAACTGTTGACCACGATTTCTACATTTATTGATTTCTACAATATTTAAAGTGGGTTCGTTTTTTACATAATGTGGTTTTTGTACAGAATTGAATACAGGAATTTTTAAGTACTGTTGGAGTATCTTCGTACCTCTCATGAACGAGTTCATATGCTTACACGTTTTCTGGGGTCAAATATTCGATGCATAGTTTTTTTTTGACTCTCGACGTTCTGTGATGAAAATGTCCCTGACTAATTCTGCCTCAAGTTCGCCAAGTTTACAATTTTTGCCATTTCTGAGAGAGGCTCGCGGAACTTTTTAGTGACTCATGATTTTTTTGTCTTCGGCCAAAAAATTAGTATCTCTCGTTGGTCAGATTTAAAGTTACAGTGAACGTTGTTTTTAGTAGATCCCAAAATTTTGCGAAATTTATGTCAAGTTTTTTTTCCGAGGTTTTTGAGTGAAAAGCTTTTTTTTCCCTCCTTTTCCGAATGCTGAGTATAATTGTGACTTTAACTTCTTGTTGATATCACCGATCTGAAGTCCTTTCAGATCTCGCGTTGTCTTTTGCTTTCCTCCTTCTCACCTCTTCGTTGTGGACTTGTAGAGATTGTTTCTATCGTTCTTCTATTTCGGCCCGACGGGATGATAATCGGAAGGTTCCACTATTTCTTAGATGGGTATATTAGTTCGGGTCTTTCCGGAGGGTTCAATGATTGTCAATTGAAAAATTTCTGACCTTTTTTCTCAATCATGTTGACTCTCGTTTGATGCGTTATTCCAGAAAAAACTCTAGGCCTCGAAGTTTCGACTCGTTTGACTGCGCCATATTAAAAATTTGGATTAAACTAGATAACTAGGTTAGACTTGGTTAATTTAAACAAAGATTAGTTTAAGACTTGATATGTTGAGGATCTCTACTACCGAATAGTAGACTTTTATCGAAGACTAGATTACAAGACGTGGGGTTAATAAGACTACGCTAACTAAAAACGAAAGATTAAGAAGGCTGAATTAAGATTAGTGTTGATAACAAGATTGGTTGCGCTTAGAACGCTTAGTGACTCCAACTTCAGATATACCAAATGTCGTTGCGCTTTTGGCAGGTGTTTGGCTAATTAACAATAAGTAAATGATCTACATAAAGGTTAAAAGGTCGCTAACAAATGATATCCTTTTTGACAGATGGACCCCAAAATTTTCTAAAGACGCCTTTGGCGCCAATCTATTGTAATTTTGAGAGGGGAGCGCGCGCCGAAAAAACGCGATTTTTTGGTCGACATTTCCAAAAAGTGCTTAAAAACGCCTGGTTTGGGAGAGCTCAGAAAATCAATTAAGTCGACCAAAAAAAAGTCGACAACAAAATTTTCAAGTTTTTTTGAAAATCCGCCCGCACCCCCTCGAGAAATTCCTAGATCCGCGCCTCGTAGTATTAAAAGGGAACCTTTGGACAATGAGGAGTCAATTTCCTGAAGAGAGTCGCCTTCGCAACACTCTCAGTCTCTTTTAATCCGCAGTTGCTAACAACTTAGCAAATTTTAACTAGATTTCATGGCCTCCATTTTTTATAGCATTTTTCAGGCTTTTTTTTCACAGTTTTCTTTTTTCCTTTTTTTCCATTCTTTTTCACAGTTTTTACGGCACTTACAGTTTCTGCCGTGTTTGTCGCAGTCCAGACACTCTCCGGTGAGTCTGCCACAGAACTGGTCTGAATCACAGGCACAGGTGCTGTCACAGTACTTCCCATAGAAACCCCTCTTGCATTCCTCGTAGATTATCGAACAGTTGCCGGGGTCGCGCGGGTTGTCCACGCACCTAAATTAAAATACCGTAAATTCAAATAGCTAGTAGTTATGATCGGTAAACCCGATGATTTGAAAGTGTGGAAGGTAGACGACACAAAAGATTGGATAGGCTCTCAATATATGTTCCAGATCTTAGCGAAGATCGTAGCTAAATATGCTAGCATCTGCTGGCCTAAAAATAGCTAATTCAATTAATATCCCGGGTTGACCTCCATAAACAGAAAATACTTATCTTAGAATTCCATACGCCGAAAATGCTTATGACACAATTCAAAAGTATGGAAAAATGCAAATCGTACAATTTTCATACAACTTCAAAAAATCATTGAAAAAAGATTCCAACTAGTTTCTGCGGCTACTATAACCAAATAAAACAGTCTGGTGATAAAATTGTGTTTCAAAAGTAATTTTGAAATCGCCCTCAATTTTTTTTGTTTCTTTTTCAAACTGCAAACCAATTTTGTACCAAAACAAACTTTTCCAGAAAAAATTTTTTGCATACGAAGTTTTTTTTTGTGTGCATAACGTAGTCCGCGATACACTAATTTTGGATTTTTTTTCCTATTCGCATTATAATTTTTTTTTTCAAAAACGCAGAAAACTGCTGTATTTTTTGTATCGCATGTTTATGAATGCCTCGATCAATGTCTGATAAATTGAAAATTCTAATTTTAAAAATAATCTTTTTCGAAAAACTTTGCCAACATTTGAAAGTTTGATGCTTTCAGTATATAATTTGTGAAAACATTTCTTACACAATTCTAGTGGTTTCCAATGCATTGTAAATGCCAGGCGAGCAACTTTTTAGAGACTCTAGTTTTGAGTCAACCATGGGTTTCCTCAGTTGAGTTCGGCCAGGAGACATTAAAAAAATCAACTTTGTGGTTTATGAAAAAATGCTTGTCCTACAATTTCAAAGATCTATAGAATTGTCCAAAATTGTATGATAAACATTTTTTCATATATGAAAATTTTACGGTAAGCATTTTTGGTCAGCCCGGGATGAAAATTGATAGATGCGAACCGCGCAAAAAACCACCCTTTAATACTTGTTTAGGGCACCCATTTTCAGAACTAGGATCCACCCCTTAATGCTTTTAACACACCCAAATTTTAAATGCGTCTTCTTAAAATAAGCAATAACAGCATTTATGTTATCTTTTATCAAAAAATTGCTGCTGTCTAATTTGTTTGTGCAGTAAGGTTCATTTTTATCAATTTTGTTGAGCTCAGAAAATCAATTGTGCATTTTGTGAATTGTAAGCGGAATCCGCATTAAGGATGCTCCTCTTGTTCTTCTTTTGTTCTTTCATTTCTTTGATCATTCCGACAACATTTTTACATGTTTAAAGTCTTGTCTCTAGAATCCAGGAACATAGAAACACAAAATTGTGCGCCTATCCAGTGTACAATATGGCCTCGTAATGGTCGACCCAAAGAAAGTCAAAAAATGTTTCTAGTTCCTATTAATTTTTGAGTCCGCCGAACTCTCGGTCATTGCAAATATAAGATTTATACAAGAAATACTCAAGAATGGTACGTGAGCGACAATTAAGTAGGAATTGTAAGATTAAGTGGGAATTGTATGATGATCATTTTTTTTCAAAAAATGAAAACCTCGGTTTTTTTTATCACCAGACTGTTTTATCAGCATCAAACAGCCGCAAAAATTAGTTTATATCTTTTTTCAACCATTTTTTGAAATTGTATGAAAATTGTATGACAAGCATTTTTCCACACACTTGATGTATGGAATTGTATGATAAGCATTTTTGGTGTACGGAGGTCAACTCGGGGGGTTGCGAAAGGTTAAAACAAAGCTGGGATACTTTAGAAATGGGTTATTGCAGATCTAATTTCAGATCTGAAATTTAGTTTTTCTTGGTAATTTCAGATCTGAAAAATTAAAAACTCTGACTCAAGTTTTGCTATTTTTGATACTTTACTATTTGATAGCTTCTGCAGGTACTCAGCAAAGTTAGCAACTCATTGTTTCTTTTTGAAACACTTTGCTTGTCCAATCCTGCGAATTGTCAGGGGAGGAATGGTGAAAAAACTTACCTGCAGAATCCCGCGAATGAATCACAATTGAGGTTAAACGGACAGTCGCACTTCAACCCGCAATTCTGCCCCCATGACCCGGCAGGACACACTTCATTGCACGCATAGCCAGAATAGCCGGCATCGCAGTTACACGAGCCAGTGACCTTGTCGCACTTGCCGTTTTGACAAGAGGGGCACGTCGATTGACAGTTGAGTCCAAATTTTCCTTCTGGACATTTGTGTTCACATTTTTCACCCTGTGTTTGAAAAAAATCTACTGATAATGTTTAATGATAAGAATAAAAAGTTGTTTCATACAGCTCGAAGCATTCAGTTGACTTGGCTTTTATTAATATCAAAATTCAACTAATGTCGGTTAAATTCAAAATATCAACACCTTGCTGTTCCACTTTTCGAAGAAAAAGACAGAATATTTGTGCTCAGGGTGTTTTTTTCCCCAACGAATCTCGAATTTTTGACAGATTTTTGCTATATCAAACGAAAGTTTGAAAAAAAATTTTACTTGTGATCAATTTTTGCAAAGCTATTGGGTTCTGAAAACTGACAACTTAGCTGATTTGGAACAACTCAGGTTCGAGATGCTTCGTGCTACTAACGCGTGAGCAGCTTTTCAATCCAGATTGAAAACTGGTGACCGGGCTATTAGCATGTGTGCGTGTTAGCATGCTCATGTAAAACAACGCAGTTGACTCGCTCGCTAGTTCAAAATTAACTTATTAAAATCTGTGTACTCAAATTGCGT